CAGAAATCGTTGTTGGATATGGTCATGGTGATACTATTGATATTCTTGCTACATATAACAGTGGATCTTTTACAAATCAAACGACCTATCCAGCTGGCTCCAGTCCATACTCTGTAGTAGTCAATGATTTTAATAAAGACAATCAGTTAGATTTAGTTGTTATCAATTATGGTAGTAATACTATAAGTATTTTTCTTGGATATGGCAATGGATCATTTGCAAATCAAACGATATATCCAACCGGTACTACTCCACAGTCACTGGCTGCAGGTGATTTCAACAATGATAATCAGTTGGATCTAGTTGTTGCTAACTATGGTAGCAATAATATCAGTATCTTTCTAGGAAATGGTAATGGTTCGTTTGCAAATCAAACAAGTTTTCCAACAGGTACTGGTCCATATTCTTTAGCTGTTGGAGATTTCAACAACGATACTCGATTAGATTTAGTTGTTGCCAATAATGATAACAATAATATTGGTGTTTTTCTGGGATTTGGCAATGGTTCATTTGCAAATCAAATTACATATCCTACTGGTACTAATCCACGATCTCTGGCTACTGGTGATTTCAATGATGATGATTGGTTAGACATAGTTGTTGCAAATTATAATTCTGATACTGTGGGTATCTTTCTTGGATATGGGAATGGTTTCTTTGCAAATCAAGAGACTTTTCCAACTGATAATCATCCACAGTTTGTAGCTGTAGGTGATGTCAATAATGACACTCTATTGGATATCGTTGTTGCTACCGTCGGTTATCGCACTGTCAGTATTCTTTTAGGGTATGGTAATGGGTCTTTTGCAAATTTCACGAAATGTTCAGTAGGCATTCTCCCATTATCTTTAGCTGTTGTTGATATCAACAATGACGCTCGATTAGATATCATTGTCACAAATCTGGGCAGTAATTATGTGTGTGTGTTATTAGGATATGGGAATGGTTCTTTTGCAACTCAAATTACATATCCAACAGGCGTTAGTCCACAATCTTTAGCTATTGGTGATTTTAATAATGATACTCTACTTGATATAGTTGTTACAAATAAAGGTGACAATAATGTTATGATACTATTTGGTTGTCTTAATCAAGTTTTTGTAAAGCAAATAGTAGTTTTCACTGGCCAAAATTCTCGAACACGATCTGTTGTTGTTGGTGATCTTAATAATGATAATATAATGGATATTGGAGTAGCTAATTCAGGTACTAATAATATTGGTATTTTTCTTGGATATGGAAATATTACTTTTACAAATCAAACAACATATTCAACTGGCCCAAGTTCATCTCCATATTTTTTAGCAACTGGTGATTTCAATAATGATACTCAACTAGATATTGTTACTGCTAATTATCAATCTGATACAATAAGCGTTTTTTTTGGCTATGGTAATGGCAAATTTGCAAATCAGACATCATATTCAACTGGTTCATCTTCATCTCCTTACTCTATCGCTGTTGGTTATTTTGATAATGACAATAAACTTGATATTGTTGTAGTTAATTATAATAACAACAAGTTAGGTGTCTTTTTTGGACTGGGTAACGGTACATTTGATAGTATAACGCTATTTTCGATGACATATGGTTCTCATCCATTTTCTGTTGTTGCCGGTGATTTTAATAGCGATAGAAAGTTGGATTTTGTTGTTGCAAATAATGGTACTGACAATTTAAATGTTTTTTTACAGACCTGCTAATTTTCTTCTTTTTTGCTCTATTCTTTTTTTATTCTTCGATTATACGTTCATATTAAATATTTTTACTTTCTTTTTAATAATAAAATTTCAGTATGAGTCTTATAGAAAGAAAAGTCTAATACAAACGGCGCAGAATTAAAACTTTTATTCATTTTAATTTAATTTTAAGAGAAAATAATTCAATTTTTATTAATAGAAAGTTTTGAATTTGATAATCATGATAATTAATAATATAAAGATTTCCTTCAGTAACTTTTTATTATTGAACTATTCACTATGAAAAGTTTCTCATTATTGTAAAGAACAGAGTTAAGGAGTATATATTAAGAGGCTTTTTACTGTAAGTGACGAACGACAATTTATTACATTGCACAACAATATTCATTGAATATAAGAATAAAAGATTAAATATGATAAAATAATATTGAGAACAAACATATTTAAACAATGAGCCTTTAAAGTTTATCATTTTTAGTATAATTAACCAGATTAAAACTGGTTTTGTTGATATTTTTGATCAATATAAATCTATAAATGAATAATACTAATAGCAATATATTATGTGAAAGACATACTCGATTGAGTGCATCTTATAATTGATCAATTTTCTCTGGAAAATATTCAATTGGATGAAAATATTTTGAACGCATTATTACATCTCTTTTTTCTTGTATTTCATCTTCGGTTGATTTATTCAAACCTATATAATGTTGGAATTTTTTAAATATAAATGAAAATATTTCTTACTTATCATTCTGACGATATTTTCTTGCATGACGAAAATTATCATTAATTATTGATAGAGATATTCTCTATTATTATTTCAATATTTATGGATGTGATAATATTAAATTCTAGATTACAATCAAAATTATAATATTAGATTAAATATTCGATTCTAGACAGCACAAACTTGTCTAAAATATTTAAAAATATTATAATTTAATAAATAAAGTATTAAAAGGTAAAAACTAGTTACACATTTATAATGAATTAATACGACTCAAAAGCAACAAATATTTTATATCAACAAGAATAGTTTAACATAATTTAGTTATTTCGTTATTTTCAAGAATAAGAGTGTGAGATAAGCATATGTTAATACACAGCTTTTCATCTGGCAACGATTAACTTTCAACACTTTTTAAGTTTAATCTTGATTTAGAATAAACAATGATGTTAATCGTTATGAATAAATTATAGTTCTGCTACACTCCAGTAATCTTTAATATTCATTGTTACGAACGATGGAATAAATTTCCTTTCATTATTTATCTTGAGAGTTATAATTAACTGACATCGACAGTCTTGCCCACACCCTCAGTAAAAGTAGCAAAATAATTTTTTTTTCAGCAATTTTATCTTCTATTCAGAGTATAGACAACAAATATTCTAATTCAAGCGAGATTAATATCGAATTTATTGATTTACATAAAGAAAATTTTAATAAAACAAATTTAAAAAAAATGAATAATTCAATGTCTTTATTATTGAGTTTCGTTGTCAATGAATCATTCAAGGCTAGAAAAATAAATAAATCATAAATGTATATTATGAAATAATTTTATTTACACTATGTTGAATGATAACATGAACTTCACCATGTGAACCAAGACCTAAATGAGCGGGTAATTTAACCCAAGCATCGTATACACCTTTGCCGAAGACATGTTTCTTCAAATTAATTGTTTTTGAACCAATTGAATCTCGACCAACGACATCATCATCATAGACATGTAAATGTAATTCATCTTGATGTTTGCGTAACTGACTAAAAAAAAGAATAAAATCAAAATGAAACAGCCAAAAAAAACTACAAACAATGTAAACGTTTGATTCCATGTT